CAACTGGTCGAGACAGACGACCACCCACCTTGAGCCGGAGGATCTGTCCTAGGTTTCTGCCTTTTAACAGGCAGTTTTTCCTTGCCCTTGTCGCCAAGTGCTTGCTCATGGTGGTACTGTTGGGTCTCTGTAATTAATGTTAAAGAGTTCGGTCTAGACCTGCTCTATTTGAAAAGTGTCCTGAGATAACTTCTGTTATGAATTGGCGCTATACAAATAAAATTGAATTGAATTGAATTGAATTGAACAGAAAATGGCATTTTGAAGCTTTAAAGCACTGACCTCTGCCCTGTATCCACAGTACTGACCTCTGCCCTGTATCTACAGTACTGACCTCTGTCCTGTATCTACAGTACTGACCTCTGCCCTGTATCTACAGCACTGTCCTCTGCCCTGTATCTACAGCACTGTCCTCTGTAACTTAGGGATTGTCTGCTATGTCTTGTGTTGTTGGATTTGCTTGATGTTTGGCTGATTCAGCAAAGTTGTCGCTAGTTTTTTATCATAACAAATGTACAGCTGTCCATATTTACCACAGTGGGATTAAAACTGTGGGCACCAAATACCAACACTTACATCGTGCTGGTTTAAATGTAGCTAGCTGCTTTATAGACTGGACACATATCACGTCTTACCGCCGATTTTGAGCACATTGGTGTGATCCTGTAACAGACAGACTCTGAGTTTTAGAGGATCCCGTCTGCTGCCCTTCATCTTCACAGACTGACCTCTGCAAGAATATTATACAAACAATGAAAACTGTTAACAATGCTTCAGTGTAGTTCTGTGTTGGTCTCACATAACTAAATATTTCTTTCTCCCTCACAAAGAATAAATATTATATTTGAACCTTGTTGCGGTCTGATATTCTGGGTCCCTCAGATTCTCCTGATCTAGACTCATGCTCTGTACTGGCTCCTCAGCAGACTCCCTGTTGGTGTCCACAGCACTGAAGGAAGAAAATAAGCAGCTGAATTATTTAAATGTATCTTCATCTTTGACACAATCAGAATGTGAAACTGAGGATGCTTAAAGATTAACAAGTTGGGAACATCTATCTTTAAACTATATAAGGTTGTATTATTAACACCCAGCTCCTAAAGACACCGTCCACCGTCTTCATTTGACTCACTCAGCGTTTCCTGCGTCACTGGTGGCTTCGTCTTCGCTCTCTGGAGGAGGAAGTTGCTCCGTGTTGATTTTCTCTGCTCTCTGGAAGAAATCAACAGTTGATCACAGGAGTTAATTCTCAACCTTTAGTAGCTGAATGCTCAAAATGTCCACGTTTAGCTGACTGCCAAAGTCTAATAAGGTTGTCTGACTGCTGTTAGTTTGATTAATGCTTTAATAATGTGTGTATTGATCACTGGTGCTGGCTCAGTATGCTGTAAATGGTTTCACGTTGAGGATCTACCTGTGCTCGGATATACAGAGCCGATCTTCCTTTCCCCGTGGATTTGATGGACTTTTGGATCTCTTCTGGTGTCAGTGTTTGTAGTTTCAGTGGTGTCAGTTTCCTGGTTGCGTCAACTGTGAAGACGTCAAACTGTCCGGTCACCTGAGGGAAGGTGGACCTCAGCAGGTTCAGGAAGTCGGGCTCCCGTAGGCCTCGGGGACACTTCAGCTCATTAACCGGGGACTTCAACACTAATACACAGAAAAATTCATCACAACGTTTAAGTTCTGACAAAACTGCCCAATAGTGAAGCTCTTGAACAGAATATGGCATTTTGAAGCTTTAAAGCACTGACCTCTGCCCTGTATCTACATCACTGACCTCTGCCCTGTATCTACATCACTGACCTCTGCCCTGTATCTACATCACTGACCTCTGTCCTGTATCTACAGCACTGACCTCTGCCCTGTATCTACAGCACTGACCTCTGCCCTGTATCTACAGCACTGACCTCTGTCCTGTATCTGCAGCACTGACCTCTGTCCTGTATCTACAGCACTGTCCTCTGTAACTTAGGGATTGTCTGCTATGTCCTGTGTTGTTGGATTTGCTTGATGTTTGGCTGATTCAGCAAAGTTGTCGCTAGTTTTTTATCATAACAAATGTACAGCTGTCCATATTTACCACAGTGGGATTAAAACTGTGGGCACCAAATACCAACACTTACATCGTGCTGGTTTAAATGTAGCTAGCTGCTTTATAGACTGGACACATTTCACGTCTTACCGCCAATTTTGAGCACATTGGTGTGATCCTGTAACAGACAGACTCTGAGTTTTAGAGGATCCCGTCTGCTGCCCTTCATCTTCACAGACTGACCTCTGCAAGAATATTATACAATCAATGAAAACTGTTAACGATGCTTCAGTGTAGTTCTGTGTTGGTCTCACATAACTAAATATTTCTTTCTCCCTCACAAAGAATAAATATTATATTTTAACCTTGTTGCTGTCTGATATTCTGGGTCCCTCAGATCCTCCTGATCTAGACTCGTGCTCTGTACTGGCTCCTCAGCAGACTCCTCCTCCTCCTCATTTTCACCCTCGTCTTCCTCAACGTGGCCTGAGACGTCCCAGCTTTCCGAGTCCTCCACATCTGAACGAAAAAAACGAAAGACAAAGAGTCAAACTTTTGATTTTGCAGTATTTATTACCACAGATCTTTTATTTTATTTAAAGGTCGAGTGTGGGATTTGGGGGAGTAGTACTTGAGTAAGTGTGGAAGACATACTTGTGTGCTGCTGTTCCTCCTCAGGAAGTTCACCTCCTCCAGCCTCCTCCTCCTCCTCCTCTTCCTCCTCTTCACATGCAGGTTCCTCTGGATCAGACACAAAGGTCGGTATCAGTATACGTTACTCACCGAGTAATTAAGTTTTATTTATTTATTTAGAGTCTGCTGCGGACTCCAAGTCCAGATCTGACAGGTCTAGGGTTAGTGGGTTTGGATCTGGACCTGGTCCAAGAGATATAAACAGATATAAACATAAACAGATAAACAGATATAAACAGATATAAAAAGATATAAAGATAAACAGATATAAACAGAGATATAAATATATATATAAAGATATAAACAGAGATATAAACAGATATAAACAGATATAAAGATAAACAGATATAAACAGAGATATAAACAGATATAAACAGAGATATAAACAGATATAAATATAAAGAGATAAACAGAGATATAAAAAGAGATATAAACAGAGATATAAACAGATATAAACAGAGATATAAACAGATATAAAAAGAGATATAAACAGATATAAACAGAGATATAAACAGAGATATAAACAGAGATATAAAGAGATATAAACAGATATAAATAAATATAAACAGAGATATAAACAGATATAAACAGAGATATAAACAGAGATATAAACAGATATAAACAGATATAAACAGATATAAACAAATATAAACAGAGATATAAACAGATATAAACAGAGATATAAACAGAGATATAAACAGATATAAACCGAGATATAAATATATATATAAAGAGATAAACAGAGATATAAACAGAGATATAAACAGAGATATAAATAGATATAAACAGAGATATAAACAGATATAAACAGAGATATAAACAGATATAAACAGAGATATAAACAGAGATATAAACAGAGATATAAACAGAGATATAAACAGATATAAACAGAGATATAAACAGATATAAACAGAGATATAAACAGAGATATAAACAGATATAAACAGAGATATAAACAGAGATATAAACAGAGATATAAACAGAGATATAAACAGATATAAACAGATATAAACAGATATAAACAGAGATATAAACAGAGATATAAAGAGATATAAACAGAGATATAAAGAGATATAAACAGAGATATAAACAGATAAACAGAGATATAAACAGAGATATAAAGAGATATAAACAGAGATATAAACAGATAAACAGAGATATAAACAGAGATATAAACAGAGATATAAACAGATATAAAGAGATATAAAGAGATATAAACAGAGATATAAACAGAGATATAAACAGATATAAACAGATATAAACAGAGATATAAAGAGATATAAACAGAGATATAAACAGAGATAAACAGAGATAAACAGAGATATAAAGGGACCCACCGATCCTACAGAGAGCGACCCGCGGCAGCAGCAGAGCCTCCAGGTGCTTCCTCTGCCGGTCGACCTCCAGCCTCAGACCCGCAGTCTCCTCCTCGTACCCGGCCACGGTTCTCTCGACCACCGCTAAGATCTCCCGCGCGGCGGCGGTCAGTTTGTCGGTAACGATTCCTCTCAGTATCTCCGCTCTGGTCGGTTTACAGTCCACCGGATCCACCGGATCCCCCGCGGACACCAGCAGCTCGTTCACTGCCGCCATTTCCTTCCGGAGAGTAAAAACTTTCACCACAGAACTTCAGCGGTTTCTTGGTGATGCGCATGCGCAAGCGTCCGCACCAAAAGTTCCGCTCCGGATTCTTCCACAAACCGACGTTAGAGCTGCGTGGCGCCCCCTACCGTACCGGAGGGTAACAGACACTTTACACTGGAACTATTATTATATTCATTATTATTTATTATATTATATTCTGTGTATTAAACTTGTTTAACATGTAAATACACTGTAAAATAAATTATTAGTAATATTCCAACAATACTGAAAAATAACAGAAAATAACAGAATTTTCTATAATTTAAAAACAGTTTTTAGATTTAATTTTACATTAAATCTTTTTTCTATTTTCTTTTTAATGTTTAATTAAAGATATTTAAATGAGCTATAAATACAGTTGAACTCTGCTATAATACAACCGGAGTGTAACAGACACTTTATACTGGAATATAGTCGCCCTCAGGCCTCTTCTAAATATGAGATTGAATATTGTTAATAGATTAGTTAATAACTGTTTCCCACCTTTTAAAGTCATTGTTGATAATTATTGTGAGAAATCATTAACGTGATCAGTGTCTTCACATAGATGAGTATCATCAATAACTAAAGGCAAACTGAAGTCACAACCTGGCTCAAAAGAGTGGGACAAAGACGGAGACCACACAGTCTGTGAATTGTTCTGACAATTTAATGAAGTAAACACCAAAATAATCAGTACAGTTTAATATGTGAGTGAAGGGTGAGGTGTATATGTATGAATGTAAAACCCGGAACACAAACAAAACCCAACAGTTCAGTCAGCAGCCAGAGGAAGAGAGTGAGAGAGTCTGCTCAGGTGAGCTGCAGCAGAGAGTAATCTCAGCTCCACCCCTTACTACCTGAAACAAAGAGTAAACAACCAAGCAAGAGGAACACAATAAGGCCGTCACACTGAGCACTTTTGTTATTTCAGAAGAGAGTAGTAATCAAAGTTTTGATGCCTCCTGAATCCATCATTCTCACAGCTTTAGATCCATTTTCATGATGCTGTCAGAGTGGAGAAATGATTTCTGTACATTTGAGCTTTATTTACAGTTGTTCTCCTCAATATTCATCATTCTCTAAACAGAGTGTGAAATGATCGAATCCATAACTCATCTGCTCACAACACTTTATGGATTCAAACACATGAGAACAGTTCAGCTGACTGACACTCAAACAATAACTTCATTCAATCACAGAAAGTGACTGAACTTAGTGTCTGTCTAGTGTTCTGACCACTCAAAGCCATTTACACTACAGCCACATTCACTCATTCACTCATTCATACATTCACTCATTCACTCATTCACTCATTCACTCATTCATACAGTGATTCAGCATCAGGAGCAGTTCGGGGTTCAGTATTTTGCTCAAGGACACTTCGACATGCAGCGGGAGGAGCCGGGGATCGAACCAGCAACCTTCTGATCAGTGGACGACCCGCTCTACCTCCTGAGACACAGCCAGATATATATGTATAGAAGCTGAATACACAAACATCAGAGAAACATTATAGAGCTACATGAGACCAATCAATCAATCAATCAATCAATCAATCAATCACAGTATGGACTGCAGGTTATTTCAGACGATGAAGAGAGGAAACACTGAAAGCTGAACGTTGACATTCTCTTCCTTTGAGCCCCTTCAACAAGATCAATAATCAAAGATTGATCAACAGACCAATCAAACAGATTGATCAGCCATCAGAGGAGTTGGATCAATGGAGCTGCTTCTGTTCCTGGTTCTCCCTGCAGAGGAGACAGAGGACAGTCAGACACAGACAGACACAGAGACATCTGACCTCTGACCTGTATCTACAGTACTGACCTCTGACCTGTATCTACAGTACTGACCTCTGACTGTGAGCTGCACTGTTTTCTCTCTCAGTAAGTTTCCCTCCTTGTTGTAGACGTTGCAGCAGTATGTTCCTGTGTCTCTCTCTTTGGGGGATTTCAGGGTCAGACTGAGGTCTCCAGCTTTCAGCAGGTCTTCCTTCATCTCAGTTCGGTCTTTGTAATCCTGGTTCTGTTTGTCAGGCTGATCAGAACCGTTCTGATACACATGGACTGTCATGTAAGGTTCAATGCGTCTCCACTCCACTGCAGCATCCTCAGGCAGGTCAGCTGTGGTCTTGAAGGGCAGTTGGACAGACTCCGCCCCCTCCTCCACCTCCACCTGACAGACTGAGAGAACAACAAACCCCAACATCAGCTGTACAGACAGCAGCAGCAGTTTGTAATAACTTTATTGACTGATTACAAGCTAACGTTACAGAGAGCTAATGCTATGCTACGAGCTAACGTTACAGAGAGCTAATGCTATGCTATGAGCCACAGAGCTAATGCTACTAGCTTAAAACAATATAGCTACTAGCTTAGCTTAATAACAATATAGCTACTAGCTTAGCTTAATAACAATATAGCAACTAGCTTAATTACAATATAGCTATTAGCTTAGCTTAATTACAATATAGCAACTAGCTTAATTACAATATAGCTACTAGCTTAATTACAATATAGCTATTAGCTTAGCTTAATTACAATATAGCTATTAGCTTAGCTTAATTACAATATAGCTACTAGCTTAATAACAATATAGCTACTAGCTTAATAACAATATAGCTATTAGCTTAATAACAATATAGCTACTAGCTTAATTACAATATAGCTATTAGCTTAGCTTAATAACAATATAGCTACTAGCTTAATTACAATATAGCTACTAGCTTAATTACAATATAGCTACTAGCTTAATTACAATATAGCTATTAGCTTAATTACAATATAGCTATTAGCTTAGCTTAATTACAATATAGCTACTAGCTTAATAACAATATAGCTACTAGCTTAGCTTAAGTACAATAAAGCTACTAGCTTAATATCAATATAGCTATTAGCTTAGCTTAATTACAATATAGCTACTAGCTTAATTACAATATAGCTATTAGCTTAGCCTAATTACAATATAGCTATTAGCTTAGCTTAATTACAATATAGCAACTAGCTTAATAACAATATAGCTACTAGCTTAATTACAATATAGCTATTAGCTTAATAACAATATAGCTACTAGCTTAATAACAATATAGCTACTAGCTTAATTACAATATAGCTATTAGCTTAATAACAATATAGCTACTAGCTTAATTACAATATAGCTACTAGCTTAATAACAATATAGCTACTAGCTTAATTACAATATAGCAACTAGCTTAATTACAATAAAGCTATTAGCTTAATTACAATATAGCTATTAGCTTAGCTTAATTACAATATAGCTACTAGCTTAATAACAATATAGCTACTAGCTTAATAACAATATAGCTACTAGCTTAATTACAATATAGCTATTAGCTTAGCTTAATTACAATATAGCTACTAGCTTAATTACAATATAGCTATTAGCTTAATTACAATATAGCTATTAGCTTAGCTTAATTACAATATAGCTATTAGCTTAATAACAATATAGCTACTAGCTTAATTACAATATAGCTATTAGCTTAATAACAATATAGCTACTAGCTTAATTACAATATAGCTATTAGCTTAATTACAATATAGCTATTAGCTTAATTACAATATAGCTATTAGCTTAGCTTAATTACAATATAGCTATTAGCTTAATTACAATATAGCTATTAGCTTAGCTTAATTACAATATAGCTACTAGCTTAATAACAATATAGCTACTAGCTTAATAACAATATAGCTACTAGCTTAATAACAATATAGCTACTAGCTTAATTACAATATAGCTATTAGCTTAGCTTAATTACAATATAGCTATTAGCTTAATTACAATATAGCTATTAGCTTAATTACAATATAGCTATTAGCTTAGCTTAATTACAATATAGCTACTAGCTTAATTACAATATAGCTATTAGCTTAGCTTAATTACAATATAGCTATTAGCTTAGCTTAATTACAATATAGCTACTAGCTTAATAACAATAAAGCTACTAGCTTAATTACAATATAGCTATTAGCTTAGCTTAATTACAATATAGCTACTAGCTTAATTACAATATAGCTACTAGCTTAATTACAATATAGCTACTAGCTTAATTACAATATAGCTACTAGCTTAATAACAATATAGCTACTAGCTTAATTACAATATAGCTACTAGCTTAATTACAATATAGCTACTAGCTTAATTACAATATAGCTATTAGCTTAGCTTAATTACAATATAGCTATTAGCTTAATTACAATATAGCTATTAGCTTAATTACAATATAGCTATTAGCTTAGCTTAATTACAATATAGCTATTAGCTTAGCTTAATTACAATATAGCTACTAGCTTAATTACAATATAGCTACTAGCTTAATTACAATATAGCTATTAGCTTAGCTTAATTACAATATAGCTACTAGCTTAATTACAATATAGCTACTAGCTTAATTACAATATAGCTACTAGCTTAATTACAATATAGCTACTAGCTTAATAACAATATAGCTATTAGCTTAATAACAATATAGCTACTAGCTTAATTACAATATAGCTATTAGCTTAGCTTAATTACAATATAGCTACTAGCTTAATTACAATATAGCTACTAGCTTAATTACAATATAGCTATTAGCTTAGCTTAATTACAATATAGCTATTAGCTTAGCTTAATTACAATATAGCTACTAGCTTAATTACAATATAGCTATTAGCTTAATTACAATATAGCTATTAGCTTAGCTTAATTACAATATAGCTATTAGCTTAGCTTAATTACAATATAGCTACTAGCTTAATTACAATATAGCTACTAGCTTAATTACAATATAGCTATTAGCTTAGCTTAATTACAATATAGCTATTAGCTTAATTACAATATAGCTACTAGCTTAATTACAATATAGCTACTAGCTTAATAACAATATAGCTATTAGCTTAGCTTAATTACAATATAGCTACTAGCTTAATTACAATATAGCTACTAGCTTAATTACAATATAGCTACTAGCTTAATTACAATATAGCTATTAGCTTAGCTTAATTACAATATAGCTACTAGCTTAATTACAATATAGCTACTAGCTTAATTACAATATAGCTATTAGCTTAATAACAATATAGCTACTAGCTTAATAACAATATAGCTACTAGCTTAATTACAATATAGCTACTAGCTTAGCTTAAGTACAATAAAGCTACTAGCTTAAAACAATATAGCTACTAGCTTAGCTTAATTACAATATAGCTATTAGCTTGATAACAATATAGCTACTAGCTTAGCTTAAAAACAATATAGCTACTAGCTTAATTACAATATAGCTATTAGCTTAAAACAATATAGCTACTAGCTTAGCTTAATTACAATATAGCTACTAGCTTAATAACAATATAGCTATTAGCTTGATAACAATATAGCTACTAGCTTAGCTTAATTACAATATAGCTATTAGCTTGATAACAATATAGCTACTAGCTTAGCTTAAAAACAATATAGCTACTAGCTTAATTACAATATAGCCACTAGCTTAGCTTAATAACAATATAGCTATTAGCTTAATAACAATATAGCTACTAGCTTAATAACAATATAGCTACTAGCTTAGCTTAATTACAATATAGCTACTAGCTTATAACAATATAGCTATTAGCTTAGCTTAATAACAATATAGCTACTAGCTTAATTACAATATAGCTATTAGCTTAGCTTAATTACAATATAGCTACTAGCTTAATAACAATATAGCTACTAGCTTAGCTTAAGTACAATAAAGCTACTAGCTTAATATCAATATAGCTATTAGCTTAGCTTAATAACAATAAAGCTACTAGCTTAGCTTAATAACAATATAGCTACTAGCTTATAACAATATAGCTATTAGCTTAGCTTAATAACAATATAGCTACTAGCTTAGCTTAATTACAATATAGCTACTAGCTTATAACAATATAGCTATTAGCTTAGCTTAATAACAATATAGCTACTAGCTTAATTACAATATAGCTATTAGCTTAGCTTAATTACAATATAGCTACTAGCTTAATAACAATATAGCTACTAGCTTAGCTTAATAACAATATAGCTACTAGCTTAGCTTAATAACAATATAGCTACTAGCTTAGCTTAATAACAATATAGCTACAGCACTGACCTTTGACCTGTATCTACAGTACTGACCTTTGACCTCAAGCTCCACTTGTTTCTCCATCAGGATCTTTCTCTCCCTGTTGTAGACGGTGCAGGTGAAGGTGTCACTGTATTTGGGGTATTTCAGGGTCAGACTGAGGTCTCCAGGTTCCAGCAGGTTACTCTTCCTCTCTGTTCGGTCTCTGTAATACTGGTTCTGTTCTTCAGGCTGATCAGAGCCGTTCTGATACACATGGACCTTCCAGTTGTCACTGTCCCTCCACTCCACTGTGACGTCCTCAGGCAGGTGAACTGTGGTTTTGCAGGGCAGCAGGACAGACTCCTCCCCTGAATCCACCTCCACCTGGTAGACTGAGAGGACAACAAACCACAACATCAGCTGCACTGCAGAAAATCTATTTCTAAGTCAGTCAGATAATCTGATATTTAGATTTAAAATCTAGTGGGACTTGTTTTGAGTGTGAACTGATGATCTAGTGCTCACTTAAGTAAATGTCACTCCAACCGACCCTCCAACATTCAAATCCCTGACAAAAACTCACCTTTTTAAAATTGCTTTTAATGTTTAGCTTATTCTGATGTGTTTTAATGTTTTACTATTTGATGTTGTTTTGCTGCTTTTATGTAAAGTGTCTTTGAGTATTTAGAAAAGCGCTAAAATGTATTATTATTATTATTATTATTACTTGTCTTAATGAGCAGTTTGATCTTATTTGGAGTTATTTTTAGCTACAGGGACACATTAGCTACAGGAGCTCCAGTATGCTTTGACACTTTAAGATCTGAACTTTCAACACAAAAACATCTTATTTCAACTTTTAGTCTTTTGGCTTCTGTGATATTATATTTTACACTTTATCTTCAAACTAAATATTTCATTTGGTTCACGTTCCTTCATTATTTTTCAACCCGTCACATTACATTGATTATAACAGACTATAAATAACAAACCTACTGAAAAATACAAACTATAATAACTCTGCTCATCAGTTTTTTCAGCATTCAGTCAGAAACCAAAGTATTAGACTCATTTTAACCTGGAGATGGAACATGAACATCTGAACCACATTTTGTCCCAATCCAGTGAAAATGTACCAAATGTACCAAACTTGATGTCAGTGCATTCAGTAGTTGATAGAGATATCTCAGCAGATCTGTAAAAGTCTGTATTTGTTCTGTTGAGGAGCAGCAGCTGATCCATCTTGTTGGCCAGAGAGCGGACATTCTCCAGGTGTATTGATGGAAGCGCAGTCCAAATTGTGTTGTTAAGATTTCAATACTGTTGCATCCTGAACTTCTCTGGACTGTACTCACCAATTTTGAAGTTGTTCTGATCAAGTAGTTACTACTCTAAGTAGTTTGTTAAAATAGAAGCCCTGAAATTGCCGGATGGCCTCACAGTTTGACATTAAATTCAAAATGGCTGAGTTCCTGTTGGGTTTAGGATATGGCTCAAAGAGGCTTTTTTGTATGTCCCAACATGATGTTCGTGAAACAGGACACCAGGACTGGTTTTTTAAAAGTTTGTAGGAGGCACTATCGAGCCATTTTGACACACCCACAGGCAACACCCAGATGAAATTTAAAATGCTAACATGTGGGACGTGTGTGCCAAGTTTCATGAGTTTTTGAGTCTGTTTAGCCCCCAAAATGTGATCAAATGTTAAAACAACAAGGTGATATTCGCCATGTCGGCAACATGGTTCAATAGTCATAAGATTCATAAGATGTCATTGTCAACAGTCTAAGGGTCTTCTGACCAAATTTCAGTTGGATGTGGTCAATCTGCTCGGTGAAATACATAAAAGTGTAATAAATTATATTTCTGGTTACCACTAGGTGGCGCTACCACTTTTACTGAATATTATCACACAGATGTGTTCAGGCTTATCAGCCACGTGCATTATGGTGCAGGTTGGACAACGAAGTTATGACAACTTCTTGTTTCATGGCGAAACGTCAAATCTTGGCGCCACGGCAGAGACACACCCTTCAGATCCAACTCACAAGCAGCACTACTTTTAATTGTGATGGTGTTTACATCATCCTGACCAAATTTGAAGTTGATCAGATCAATTCTACGGTGGCCGACAAGGGCAAACGCGCTGCAAACGGCAAAATGCTGTAAACACGGGAATAATGCAAATCCAAAAACACACAAACACATAAAACAAAGGCAACAGAAAAATGCTCCAAATACCAAAAACACACAAAACAACAAAACAACTGCGAGAGAAACGCTGCAAATTCGCTCGACAAAACGGAAGTGCGCCAGGCCACTGGGGGACCCGACCTGAGGGATGGACCAGTCCCGAAAGACATGAAGAAGAAGAAGAAAGTTAGCTAAGTTTTGGAGAAGACAGTAAAAAGGTAGAGGTTGATATGACTATGAACAGACTATTTTCACTGTCTCTTTATGCTGCAGCTGCTCAGGTAGACAGTGTGACCCTCGGTTTATAATCCCAGACCTCACTGTCCCATACTTCTATGAAAACCACAAAACCGTCAAGGAGCAGTCAAGGAGCAAAGACGATAACCATCGGCATTATGGGTAATGTAGTAGTAACATACCTGACATGAAATACTGCCGAAAATGCACCAAAAGACCCCCAACAATAAGACCAAGAACCAGGAGAACCAGGAGAACCAGGAGAGCTTTAGCCCAGGATGGAAATCGTTCTGTGGGGAACAGAAACATAAAGATCATGACCTCTGACCTATATCTACAGTACTGACCTCTGACCTGTATCTACAGTACTGACCTCTGACCTGTATCTACAATACTGACCTATATATATTAGTTTTTAGGGTTTGTTGCTGACCTTTGACCTGCAGCTGTATGTTTCTCACTCTCCGTTGTCCTCCTAATGCTCTGGCGGTGCAGGTGTAGGTGCCGCTGTCAGAGAGGCGGAGTTTTGTCAGCTTGAGGCTGAGGTCTCCAGTTTCCAGAGCATCAGCCATCATGGATGTTCGGCCGCTGTAAAGCTGGTTTTGGTCTTTAAGTTCATCACCTTCCTGCTGATGCTGGTGGACGGTTGGAGGATTGAGATCGTAGCGGCTCCACACCACTGTAGGGTCGTCCATGTCAAAAGTTTGAAACTCACAGGGCAGCAGGACAAACTCATCCCAGTCATATAGCTCCACAACTGAGGCATGCTGGTAAACTGTGAGGTCACACAGACAGAGAGGTTCAATCACAGCAGCCTTATTTCAGGTCTTATTGCTTCTGGATCTGGTCGTGTTTGTGATTGGACTTTGAAACCACATCAGCACAGTTTAATACCAATAAGACAAATAACAGAACAAACTGATAGACTGAATTCATTGATTCAACATGGTGTTTAAATGAGTGTGTTAACTGTCTGAACTCCTCTTTCCTCACATCTTTTCCTTCTATCTCTCCATCACGTCTTCAGTGGGAGCCACTGATACTCAGGGAGAAGACAGGACTGATGGACACGTGGAGACATTCATACAGATGAGACACACCCTGAGTGATTTGGACCATCTGTGTCCATCTTGTACTAAATGATGTTCAGTTGTTGAAGCACTGTAACAAAGTTAATGTCCTCTAAAGTGTGTGTAGCCTGTAAACTAGAAAACTGACCTCTGACCCGTATCTAAAGCTGACCTTTCTACAGACCTATATCTAAAGCTGTGGTTCCAAGCCCTTTCCTTTGAGGGACCCCTTTTCTATCATTTAGTAATCTGACAATCCCTGACTAAGTGACATATTTTATTAAAAACTGTACAATTTAGCCAAACAGTGAATTCACTCACTGCAAGAAGCTTGTGTAAAACAGGTGATTTAAATGAATTTTGAGCAGATTATTTCCTGTTTAGGGAACTTTTTATATGATTCTCTGTCTGTTTTATATATTTATTCATTATTTGTAATAATCGTACAACTTAATATGCTTCTTTTCAGACAAATTCTGTGTTTTCTTGTCCCTGATGCTTGGTTCTATCAGACAATTAACTTAAAAATATATATTTAATTTTCTTCTGCTTCTGCTTATGCTGAGATCTAGGCCTACTGTGTATATTTTCATTTAGTTTTCTTACACGCCATAAAGTCAAGAAAGCCTCGCCCCCATTAAACTTTTAGGACCCTCAGTTTGGGAATCACAGATCTAGAGTAGGTTTTAAGGTTTGTTGCTGACCTTTGACCTTCAGCTGTACTTCTCTCACTCTCTGTTTTCCTCTTGATGATCTGACGGTGCAGGTGTAGGTGCCGCTGTCAGAGAGGCGGAGTTTTGTCAGATTGAGGCTGAGGTCTCCAGTTTCCAGAGCGTCAGCCATCATGGATGTTCGGCCGCTGTAAAGCTGGTTTTGGTATATAAATTCATCACCTTCCTGCTGACGCTGGTGGACGGTTGGAGGATTGAGATCGTAGCGGCTCCACACCACTGTGGGGTCGTCCATGTCAAATGTGTGATACTCACAGGGCAGCAGGACAAACTCCTCCCCCTCATACAGCTCCACAGCTGAGGCATGCTGGGAAACTGTGAGGTCACACAGACAGAGAGGTTCAATCACAGCAGCCTTATTTCAGGTCTTATTGCTCCTGGATCCTCAATCTGCTCCTGTTTGTGATCGGACTCACAAACAGGAGCAATAACAGAACAAACTGATAGACTGACTGTATTGATCCAACATGGTGTTTAAATGAGTGTGTTAGGATCATTAATACTATTGGTAATATAAGCTATAAGAATGTGAACAACCTCCAGAGATATAATCCTGAAGAACAGAACTGAGGACAGTCTGACTGTACAGTCTTCTACATTCATCATGATTTACACAAACATTGAAAATATGCTGCCTTTAATATGTTCTTCATGTTTTTATTGGAGTTTAAACAGACTAATGAAGTGAAGATGATAGAAATACAGATTAAAGACATGATGTTGGACTAATGATCAGATCAGAGGGAGGAAGGTTATCTTACCGTGCACGAGGATCACAAACACCACAAACATCTTCATCTTCCTGTAAAAACTACAACAACCCCAAAGTCCTCATTAATCTGCTTCTCACTAAACGAACACTTGAAAAACACATTCAGTTCACAGCCACTTGTCACTTTCCTCCTCCTGATAATCTGCCGACACTGTGAGGAGAAAACTTTAGTTTCACTTTAAACTGTTTCCAGAGAAGCAGCCGTTGGAATGGAAAGAAACCGGCTGAGCAGCTTTCACACAAACATTATTGGTTGATTGCCAATAACTCCCAAAACAACATATATGAGCGGTGGAGAGTAGAGCAGTGACAGACACACTGGACCTGAAGGACGTTAAACGGCGGGTCCGCGGTGTTGAACTTCGACGTATTGCCAAGAAACAGGAAGTTGTCTAACCTCAGTGAAACTGTCAATGTTTGACAGGAGTCACACCCTGAACACACACACACATGCACGCAGTCATACTCATAGCGCCACATACTAAATAGGAAGTAAGCCTTGTGTGCTGATCTTGATCTGATTTACATGAGATGTTCATGGTGTGGTCCACACATGATACACTGGTGCAGCAAACCCTGATGTGTGTGGGCAGCGAGGGTCTGACCATTGCTGCTTGTAGCTTTGAGTTTTAGCTTTATAGTTACAGGTTTAAAGTCTGCTGTTCCACATGTGATCCCTATACTGCCCTCTAGAGGCTGACTGTGGTAACTACTGAGACAAAATGAAACTGAAAGCATCCATTGTTTTTACCTGTCCAGTCGAATGTTTTAGGTAGAACTGCAGTTATGTGCTTATTAAATATGTATTCTCTAAGTCATTTGCATTGTTCAAAAATCAATTATTTGACCTCTCCAACCAGTTTTATACAGCTGTCACTTTCTCTGGGTCAGGAGCGACTCCTCGGCTGCTGACTTTGTGTCCCAGGAACTTCCTTCTGAAGCTTGAGGCCGTAACCACCGAGGGCCTGAAACACCTCCTCAAGATGGTTCAGACTCTTAAAAACACAGTCTGTAATTAAAATACAGTTTTTAGATTGAATTTTACATAAATATTACATGTAAAAACAATGCAATGAGCTATAAATACAGGTGAACACTGCTATAAAACAAATTATTTTACAAGAGTGCTATTTTATTTATTTATTTAAAATTTTGGTTTGGATGTTAAAAGTTATAGAACTGTAATAAAAGTAAATATCTGTGAGATTACAGTAATTATTGCTGTTTACACTGATAACAACTGTATTTGGACAGTTTGGGGGGCATATATATATATTCAATAAAACAATATTTTCTCTCTGTAAATAATCTTGGATCAACACATAGCATCCGTTTGGGTCAGACTGTCTCAATGGGAACAACTAACTGTTTCCTAATGAGAAGAGCCACGCCTCTACTTCCAGTGGAGTAAGATGGAGAATACACCTGGCCTACACAGTCTTTTTTATGACTAATAGAAGCTCAGAGGGAAGGTGATGATGTGAACCACAATACAAACACACTGACAAGACAACAAAAGCATAACACATAGAACCCAACATATTCCCTTTCCCATCCCAAGAGCTCCAACCTGTGGAGTTTCCAGAGCACCTCCTCTCTCTCTTCTGCTATACTCTATATCAAACTCCTAGACTTCATGGGGCTCAGGCCACTTTATAGTTTTCTTTACAACGTTGAGAATAAGTGATACCAACTAGATCTGTTCTCCAACTGAACCTAAACATACACAGATAACAGTACCTTGGCCTTCTTAATAACCAGAGGTGGGTAGAGTAGCCAACAATTGTACTCAAGTAAAAGTACTGTTACTTCAGAATAATATGACTCAAGTAAAAGTAAAAAGTAGTCATCCAAATAATTACTTGAGTAAGAGTAAAAAAGTGCTTGGTGGAAAAACTCCTCAAGTACTGAGTAACTGTTGAGTAACGTCTGATTTATTTTTTAACACAAGCATTCAATCAGAAAAAATTACAAAATAATCGTCTTTAGGCAAATTATAATTCATCCAATCAATAAAATAAATTAAAATCAATTAATTAATTACAAAATAGCTTAAATTAAAATAATCCAGGTAAATTCAAGTACTTAAAAAATAAAATAAATAAAATAATAATAAATAAAAAATAAATAAGTAACACAAATTTCCAAACCTTTAGGCTATACTTTTTTACCAGGCTCTGCAAGCAGAACTAGAACAAGACAGCCCATAAACTCTCATAAACTGTGTGTGTGTGTGTGTGTGTGTGTGTGTGTGTGTGTGTGTGTGTGTGTGTGTGCAGTGGCGTGCACTGACTTTTTGAAGGGCAGGGGCGGAAAGAAAAAAAAGGGCACATATAGCGCGTCCTCACCCCTGTAGAGGGCACTTTAAACACGTTTTATATATTATACAAATGTCACATTATAGAGCCTTAAAACAGACTAACTAGACAGACTACTCAGGTTAGTTTGCTGTTAGGATCAGCATCCACGAGAACTGTGTGGATTTCAACGATGGACTGTGAAGAACCCACAATGACATGGATGTACCGTAGAATCTCACTGCTCTACTTCAGAGGTCAATTCAATACTATATAGTTTTAGTACATACAGTACAGAGATAACTGTACAGAGATCTGAGCGCTCTGAAAGTCCTGTAGTGTGACCAAGGCCTTCGAGGTACAGTGAGTAAAGGAGGAGCCAGGACGTAGTAAACTGGTTTGAGACCCTCTTATTAACTCTGGCTCTAAATTCTGGGGTAGCACAGAGATGTGGGCCTGAGGAGAAGGAAGGAGAAAAAAGCAATAGCAAGCTTTAGCTTTAAAATGTGAACAACAGCAACTCACTAACCAACAGACTCAAATAAAGTCAACCAGCCACCCAAACACACACAATAATGCTGGCAGCACATGTTAACTACATTGCTGTAACCCATCCAGTAGAATATAGTCTCTAGTAGGAATATTGGTTCTGTATTCTTCTAACAATATAAACTGATTGAGCAAGGACACGCTGACAATAAAACCTGGACAACATCAAAATAAGAGACATTCACAGGAAGAGCAAACTGTCCCACTTCCTGTTTTCAACACAACGAGCAACGTTTCCTCAAATGTTTGGACTGAAAAAAGTGAACAAAGCCATTCACAGCTTTTTCTATTCAACTGTAAAAGCAGCTTTCAACCAGCAGAGGGCGTCGCTGTGCACTTTTATAGCTAGATATCTAGAATTCTAATAGTTTGCACTACAATGTCAAGATCTGCCTGAATCAGTCAGCCACACTACTATACACCCATATACAGAGTGTTTGGGGGGTTTAGCTCCTCTCTGAATTATATGAAGGATAAAGACCGGCTGCTCCATCACAACCTACTCCACAATGACATCCATGAGCCACAAGACCTCACAACCCAAAACTGTGTGAACAAACCTCCACAAAGTTACTGACTGTTAATATATATTATCTTATATATATATAAATATATATATTTATATATATATAATCTATGTGTGTCAAAGACTGAATATGTTTCCTGTGGAATAAAATAAATGCATCTGCTGAGGGACAGTCAGTGAGTGTGTGTGTGTCCAACTCTTCCTCACAGGTTAGTTAATGACAGACAGTCAGTGAGTGTGTCTGTGTCCAACTCTTCCTCACAGGTTAGTTAATGACAGACAGTCAGTGAGTGTGTCTGTGTCCAACTCTTCCTCACAGGTTAGTTAATGACAGACAGTCAGTGAGTGTGTCTGTGTCCAACTCTTCCTCACAGGTTAGTTAATGACAGACAGTCAGTGAGTGTGTGTGTGTCCAACTCTTCCTCACAGGTTAGTTAATGACAGACAGTCAGTGAGTGTGTCTGTGTCCAACTCTTCCTCACAGGTTAGTTAATGACAGACAGTCAGTGAGTGTGTGTGTGTCCAACTCTTCCTCACAGGTTAGTTAATGATGTTACTGAGTCAATGTGAGCAGATTGTGTCTGTAGACTGAAGAGAATCAGAGTCTCACTGATGGTGGAAATAAAGGTTTTACTTCCTTAAAACAGCCGTTTTTTGAATGGAGTTTGGTGTGACAGTGTGGAGCAGAGGGGATTTGAACCTTAATAATTCCCATAAACTGAGCTGACCGACCTTCTAATAATGAACCTTGGAAACAGCAGAGAGTAACAGGAAGTGGAGATAAACCCTCCTGTTTTCTTCTTCTGTGGTCTCGTAGTAAAAGGTGGATTAATAAACACAAACCCTGGAATTAGTTTACAGTAACGTCACATTGGACACAAACAGTTAATAAAGAGTGTGAAGCACAGAAACAGTGACAGACAGCAGAAATATGAGATTGAATAAGGTCGCTGTATATGTCAGGACACTCATCAATAACTATTTGTGTATTTTATATAGAACAACAACACAACAGCATTGTTTGCTGGATATAGGATTTATGCTCCTAATAGATACAAACAATACAGTAATGTTATTTTACGAGCTCAGAATTTACATTTACCACCAGTCAAATTAGAGGCAGTGCTTTCACTTAAAAGGGGGCGGGGCTTGACGCAATGGGACCTTCACCTGTTGAATCATAGAGTTACTACTTTAAATGTCCTACAGTGAGTTATTGTACATAAACAATCAGAGAGAAGATTGGATATTTCTATATAGTTATTGTTAATGTCTGCCACCGGGTCGGATTCCCCTTGAAATCAATGAAACCAGGCAGTAGAAACACTACCGCTGTTGTCCACAGGGGGGCGCCAGAATCAACTCAGACAGTTCCTGGAGTGTGACGAGTGTGCCGTCCCCATGGAGCAGAGCAACAGGCCGTACAGGCGGCAACTAACAGTTGATGTGATTGAGCAACTGTAATTAGTGAGAATCAATATTAGATTGTGGAAGCTGCAGATATTTCACTGCTGATAACGCTTTATGGACGCTGTCACTACAGACACAGTTTACACTCATTATGTTATTAAAGGAAATCATCAATCTGAGACATGTGTGGGACATTCAACCTTGTTTAACTTTAATTTAATATTGATATAATATTAATGTCTAATAAAAATGAATATAAATAATTAAAGAAATATTGAATATAATATAAAAATTGAATGAATAATGTGTAGTATTTTATATATTTTTAAATAAAAACACAAGCTTTCCCTTGAGGTGTAATTTCTACCCCACCATACAGAATGTAAATGTCTTTGTATTAACATAAACCAATATAAACAAATATAAACAGATATAAACAGATATAAACAGATATATAGGTAGTGCAGTAACTACAGACTCATTTATCACATATATATTATATATAATACATATTCTGTATTTCTCATTGTTTGCAACTGAAGAGTCATTGAGAATGAAGCAATCCTCAAATATAATTTTTAGATGTTTAACCAATTAAATGTGTTTAAATTATAACATTTATGGAAACTTGTTTTTAGAATAAGATTCTTGTTTTATAAATAAATGATCTCCAAAATAATGGACCAAAAATAAATCGGTTGGGAACCTGAACAGTTGGTTGAAAACGAGGTTGAAGCGTTGAATGCAGCTCTGATAGGACTGCAGGAGAGTGAGGCTGATATCAGTCACATCAAATAACCAACAGGATCCCTCGTCAGTGTTTAAAGAATGTAAATACACTGAATGCTTTCACTTCATGAACACCTGAAGGATTATAGCTTTAACTATGTTTCCATCAAGCACCAACTTCTAATAAAAAGCTGACGTATGACTATTCTCACCGAAGTTAATATAATAATAATAATAATAATAATAATAATAATAATAATAATGCACAACTTACAATAATTGCATTTAATCTCAGAAGGAAAACAGTCCCAAATAAACAGCTAAAAGTTCTTAATATTTGTATTTCTTCTTGCACGCTTTGATAACTTGTATAATTATATAATATATATAATAATTGCACATTGATCGATTCATAAAGAGGACAACATAATATAATTTACACCTGATGGAAACTGGAAGGTTAGTTAGCAAACTTCAGGAGCCTGACGGACTGGTGACTGGAGGTGCAGCTGTTAGTATACAGGGAGAAGAGCAGAGGAGAAAGAACGCAGCCATGGGGGGAACCGGTGCTGATGGTCTGGGAGTCAGAGACATTTTTCCCCAGCTTCATCTGCTGTTTCCCTTCAGACAGGAAGTCTGTGATCCATCTGCAGGTGGAGTCAGGCACAGTGAGCTGGGAGAGCTTGTCCTGTAGCAGAGCTGGGATGATGGTGTTGAACGCAGAGCTGAAGTCCACAAACAGGATCCTGGCGTAGGTTCCTGGGGAGTCCAGATGCTGGAGGGTGAAGTGCAGGGCCATGTTAACTGCATCGTCTACAGACCTGTTGGCTCTGTAGGCGAACTGCAGGGGGTCCAGGAGAGGGTCCGTTATGGCTTTCAGGTGGGAAAGCACAAGGCGCTCAAAAGACTTCATGACCACAGAGGTGAGGGCAACAGGTCGGTAGTCATTGAGTCCTGTGGTCCTTGCTTTTTTGGGGACAGGGATGATGGTGGATGACTTGAAGCAGGCTGGCACATGACATGTGTCTCTGGTTAATGTACAATAGGTTGATGAAGGTACAATAATATTCTGGTTAATGTGCAATAAGTTGATTAAGATACAATAATATTCTGGTTAATGTGCAATAAGAAAAACGACACCAACAAAATGAATTAAAACTACATTTATAATTTCTGTTTTAATCAACAAGTCTGTTAAATGTTGAGCACAGATCTGTAAGTGTCTGAGTGGTGGTGGAGATTTCCATGCTTCATTTCCGTCAGACAGAATTCAAATGAGCTGAGTTTATTCAAATCATAAACAGAGGAGCAACACTTGTTTACAGCCAGAGGTGTTTCTACTCATTTACTTTGCTGAATAAGTTTGAGAAGAAATCAGATTACTGCTGGTCTGAGGTGAAGCCTCCTCATTAATACATCCACTGTCACTGTACAAGCAATTAGTCATTAAAGTGTTTATGATTCATATCTGATAGGAGCTGATTTCAGCCTTCGTCCACGAGGAGTCAAACAACAATAATAATAATGATTACAGTTGAGATTAAATGAAAAATGTCTTTTTAACC